AGAAATTAATAATACCTGTCTCTGTGTTGTGGAGAGGACCAAATGGAGATAGCATATGTGAAATAACTAGCATGATGCTTAGCAAGTGGCAAAGGTGCATAAATAGTAGCTAAAATCATTTTTCAAGCAATTTTATTGAAAGTGTTTTTTTACTACACTAAGAGCAGATAGATGTTTGTTGGAAAAATGGTAATTTACCTTTCCTCCCTCATTTTTCATCATTTTCCAAGAAGCTTCACCAATATACATCATCCATTTGAATAAAAAATAATGATTTTATTAGAATGAACCAAAAACAGTTTCAATAAACAAAAATTATTGTATACTTTATTTGGTGTTTCTTAGTATAAATTATTAAAAATAAAGATTCCCAAACATCTGATTCAGTCACACTTTGAGGAATCCGAATTTTTTAAACTTCACTGATTTATTCTGAGGCAGATGGTCTATATTTTGAGAAAAAATTAAAATAGCATAAACCATGGTCTCCTACATATAAAAAGCAGAAAAATGTTTAGAAATACTTCAGCAGATTCTCACCAGGCTCCATGGATTGCCATTTCCAAAGAGATTAAGAACAGTATTATAAATGAAAGCAGATTAGCTCAGGATATACTATTTGTAAGAAAGGAAATCTCTCCTCCTACACTCAGTTCTTTAAAGAATTCGGGCCTTGTCATTTTTCTGTGTGATATTCCACAATATAATGAAATAAATGAGGATATCTGGAGCTAGCAAAATATCTACAAAAAGTTCTTCTTAGAATATGATTACACATGAAGCTTTCAGGATGGATTTACAGCCCTAGAAAGCAATCTCATGGGAAAATAAACTCTTTTTAGTGCTTGGAGTGACTCACTGGTGTCACTCAGTTCAAAGTTTTTATGTTTACATCTGGTGGCACTAAAGTTGCTCACAGGTAGGAAATGATGCCTTCCAGCTTATTAATACCTGGGCTGGAATGAGAACCAGTCCTCAAAGGTTTCTTTTTGGTTCTTTCTGAGAAACCAGTGAAATTCAGTGTAGAGTCCCAGTGAGTGAATGAGGAAAAGTACAAGATTACAAGTCATTTTCAGTAATTCTGGAGATCGGAAGAGAAATCTAACCACACAGGTATAGAAGACAAATTTTAAAAGCATCTTTCTTTGCTTTTACCTGGAGTTATGTAAATTCAGTATGGTCACACTGATGTTCTCATGCTGGCCAGAAGCTCCACAAAGTTTCTGAAAAAGATCGAAGAAGTTACTGCATTATAACAAGCTACCTCAGGGTAGAATTTCCTGAAATATGATTGGTGAATCTGACTCTGACACAAGAACCATTAAGTAAAGAAGACACTCCCATCTAAGTAGAATCTGCTCACTCAGACTAAAATGCAGAGACAGCTAAACTAAGGTTACCCAAAGCAATGAATGATGCTTATTGCCTGTATATTTACCTAACTTCATTACATAGTAACATCATAACTGAAGTAATGATTTATGTATTTTCATAATATGATGGTAAATGTGGATCATTCATTTAAATCTGGATTCATGCTAAAATGGAAAGCCAGTAAGAACTCAGATGGAACTAATTATTTATTGTTTAATGCATGCAGGTTAGAAAAAAATATTTCAAAACACAAATCCTTAGTAACATTAAAAAGAAAAATAAAGTCCTCAAATTGCTGTATATATCAAGCTACTTCTTGTTATAAATTTACATTTTAGGCGCCTGAGCTATAATTTGTAAATTCACAAAGGGAACAGATTTGCAGGAAAAAATACCTACAAAACAAGGGCTGTTTGGACAGAATTTAACTTCACATTCAAAATGAATTAAACAATTTTTTTTTCCCACTAGAAACCCCAAGCCTTGAAACACATTGTTTCATGGCTTAAGATAAATATACCCAGCTAACCTGGTTATATCGACATTTAAATTCATCATAAAATAATACTTATGGGAATTCCACATATTTTTAACCTCATATATTCCAGTAAACTTGGTTAGGTCATTAGAGCTACACTGGAGCTTATTATTCCTGCTTACTCTCTTGCCAGGCTTTTATCTTTCATTCTTGCTGCAAAACTTCGTGAGTCTCTTCTGCGAAGCCATTTGGCCCGATCTGATCTCACTTTCTCAGATGACTACTCATAATTGACCATAAAGCACTAGGGCAAAGACGCTGTGCCATTAAAAAGAAAGATGTAGTAATTTAGTTAAATATGAACTGCATAGGAATTCTGTTAGCTAAATACATTCAAAAACAAACAAACAAAAGGAATCAAGTTGCCTACCTATATATTTGAAAAACTATGAATGACATGGAAAGTAGAAACTACTATCAACTTATTAAACATTAGGAGGCACTATTCTGCATAGTTGGCCAATTATCTCACTGTAACCTTCAGACAAAAAAATGCAAATTCATTTGGCCGCAACTACACACAAGCTTTGTAGATTTCTTTTTTAATCATTTTAAACATTTTACATTTTCAACATTTTTAATCCTTTATATCAATTGCCAGTAATTCAAGTCAGACTTCCCCATAAATCTCAAGATTTGTATCAAAAATCTCAAATTCCAATAGATCCAAAAATAAGCAATCAAAGAATGCCCCAAAGTGTTACTCTTAAATTATTCTTTAAATATTTAAACAATGCAAAGGAAGAGAGTTTACACTGGCTACATATCTACCCTATTCTATGCATCACACTCAGCACTTTGGATAAAATCTCTTAACGTCTGTATACATGATATTAATACACTCGCTTTCAATGGAAATTAAAGCTTTAGAGATTGAATGGCCCAACAGTGAGAGCTAATAAATGGCAATGTTGAAACAACCCCTACAGAAGAAGTAGCTCAAATTTTACTACATTATCCTCGTTTAAATTAGATGCAGAGTTGTACTCAGTACACAAATCCAGTGCATTAGAACCTTGAGGTTACAAGTAACAAAAATTTCAACTAGTTTAAACAAAATAACATGCTTTATTAACCTTAAAGAAGAAATTGAAACTGGCTTTAAGAAGACTAGAATCACGGACTTAAAGTTAAGCCTCTCTGTTTCTTCTCTCTACACTGATTTCTGCACGTGGTAAAGGATGTGGTCCCAAAAACGTCACTCTCTAATATCACTGCCTTGGGATATAAAGCCCCCATTTACCAGCTGCCGATGAAAAAGCATTTAGGGCAAAGTCTCTCAGCAGCACCATTATTGACATTTTGGACTGGATGATTCTTTGTTGTGAGGTCTTTCCTGGTCATTGTATCTGTTTAGTAGCATTGTTTACTCTTACCCAGTAGTTGCCAATAGCACCCCCCAATCATTCCCATCATAACAATTACAAATTGTTTGTAATGCCAAATGTCTTTCACTGTAGGGTAGCAAAATATTCTTGTATTGAGAACCACTGCTTTAGAGAGAAATATGACTACCCTTGTTCAATATAAGGACCTACTCTTCAACAATTCTCACGCCGAGGAAACGGAGACATTTTAAAAGATGGCAACTCCAGTTTAGGCCACATGCTGCAATGGCATTGTGGGAAGGGAGGATAAAATTCGTTAAGAGGAGAAAAGTACAGCATCGACGTGGTCCCTAAGAAAGTCGTTGAGACTGGGCTCTGCTCCAATGTGTGTTAATTCCATGCAGATGCAAATCAAATGAGCATCTTTACTTGACCCAAATGAAGTCTTATGAATCTTTCATGGCCAAATGCCCACATCTTCTATTGCATGCACTATGATTTTCTATATTTCAATTGCTCTAGAAGAACATAGAATATTTCTATTTTTTGCCAAACTCAATATTCCAAACATATTTTTAAATGTGCAGCAAGTCTACTTGTTCAAGGTAGAAGATTATAATAACAGCTAACACTTATTGAGTGCCTATTAAGTGTCAGGCACTAATTTAAGCCTTTTTCATTTCTCTTATTTGATAGTCTGGCCCTATGATATAGGCATCGTTGTTAGTTCTATCTTACAAAAGAAGGAAAATATCTTACAGAGGTTAAGTGACTTACCCATGGTCATCTAGCTAGGATTTCAAATCATGTCTATTTAATATTAAAATTAATGCTCTTAGGCTATCAATAGTTTTTCAGGGCCCGATATTTAAAAGCCAGGAAAGAAACAATAGAAATCAATATGGTTCTTCTTTTCCCTTTTCTCCAGTTGTCTCCTCCACCTACACCATGTTCCTCACCCCTACACACACGTACTTCTAGAAATAAAGAAAAGGTCACTGAGACATTTTTGAAAAGTAAATTTCTAATAACTAGAGACTCAACTCAAAAACAAAACACTGAAAAGGATAGGTGAGGGTTAATCGACTTTCATTCCTATTTAATTACAGCCTCTTTTCACTGACATTTATGAAGCACAAGGGCAAAGGATGGACAGGATAATTGCTCAGGAATATACCCCTCAGGGGAGCAGCATCATAGCAGGCAGAATTCTTTTACAGAGAATTAGAAGAAGTAGTTGCAGATTTTAAATGCTACAGAGAGTTATAAAGAAATCACAACAAAGTAGAGTCTAGGAGAACTCATCAACAGTAAGTCCAGGAAGTTTTGAACCTTGGGATAGTTACCAAAGAGGATTTTCTAGCTCCAAACAGAAATCCTTAAGAAGAAATAGGAGTAGAAGGAGACCCAACTAATGGTTTTAGCTTTGCCCCAACAATTTGATTCATTTTTATTAGTCACCTCTTTATTCTTAGTTTTCTCAACTCTAAAATTAGTGAGTTAGATTATCTTGCCCACTAGACTACTTTTTTCTTTCTGATATATCCTATAGCCCAGCATCAAGAGACTGCGATGTTGGTGCCACAGGACAACTCTTATTTCTATTTAATCTAACTGAAATAGGTGCTAAGCACTTCTTTTGGCAACTCCAAATCAACCTGGTCAGGAGAAACTCTACATGCAATTCAGCAATCTATCTGCTTAGAAAAGACTCTACACCAGCAGTGCTCCACTCATTATTTCCTGCTTTAATGTTTTACCACATTCTTCACAAGAACTTCTGCATGATCGTATCTGAATTTCACAGTTTCATTATCTGTATCCTTCAACCTAGACATAGAAATCATCTTGGGTCATGTATTAGTCTGTTTTCATGCTGATATAAAGAACTGCATAAAACTGAGTAACATAAAAGCAAAAGATGTTTAATTGACTCACAGTTCCACATGATTGAGGAGGCCTCCAGAAACTTACAATCATGGTGGGAGGCAAAGAGGAAGCAAGTCACGTCTTACGTGATGGCAGGACAGAAAGAGAGAGTCGTGGGGAACCTGAAAACACTTTTAAACCATCAGAACTCATGAGAACTAGCCCACTATCATGAAAACAACATGGGGGAAACTGCCCCCATGAGTCAATCATCTCCCACCAAGTTCCTCCCTAGACATAGGGGATTACAATTTGAGATGAGATTTGGGTGGGGACACAGGACATATTGCAGATTATTTTGCCAGTTTTATGATTGTCTCGGGTCCTGGCAATCCCTATCTCTTCTTCCACTGGTCTCCTAAGCTTGTCTGTGATGCATTTGGAATCCTCTTAAGTAACCTTTCTCAATATTAATTACCTTTAGTTTGTTTTGTAGTTCTTAAAGTAACTTCAACCCTGGCATACAGATTCAATTCAAAGCACTGAGGCTTTGAATGACACACCTCAGTGTGCCACACAGTTCTATACCTACCTGTAGCCCAGCAGCCTGGATAATCTCTAAGGCCTTTTCAGGTAATAACATTCTATCATGTCATGGTGCTGTAGCAGTGCTGTTAAACATAAAACATTCAGCAAAAGAGACAAGCTGGGCTGCAGTTAAAATACTAGATCCTGAGCAGATTTTCAAACATTGTCCTTCACCAGGGGCAAAATGGTTTCAGGTTTTCCAACCAGAAATAACTACATAATACCACTATTAGCAATGGAAATATAAGTTTGAAGCCCTATACTCTCAGAATGTACAAAAAGCACATCTCTCCTGTATTGTAGGTGAATTACAGAATGACAGGACGTGCCTAGGATCCTAAGCAATTTTCTCTATTCCCTAAAAATGAGTGGGAGTCCATATGTACTTTTCTTGTGATGTGTTAATTACCATGACTAACACTTTACTGAACCTTCTCTTTTTCTCTTGATTGTGGGGGTAGGGTGGGGGTGGTGAGACGCTTAAAAAAAAAAAAAAACGCATCAGAAAAAATACATCCAAATTAATGGACTTCCTCAAAGGGCATGTCCTTCCCCTAACAAAGCCAATAGTCATACAAACTCCTCTGAAGCTGTACCTTGAAAGACACTTCCATTGCCAGTTTATTAAGTACATTGTTTAAATCTGTCATATCACTTTATATACATGTACTGTATATTTGGGAAAAAAGTCAACTTGATAACCCAGCTTACTGAGCCATTTAGGTTAGAAGGCTTTACCATGAAACACTTGGGGCTGTTTTCTAAAAACCACTATGACCCACAGTCTTAAAATCATGATCCATAAAGTCTTACAAACATTTACACACTGTGCCAAGAGGTGGGGAGGAAAACCTAAAAAAGAAGTTTCAAAGCTGTTTTGGTTAGTGATAACATCAATTATAATACATTTAGAGTCTCTCAAGATAAAATAGTTCTTAGGTGTTATACTCATTAAGAAATATAACTTCTGGCCTGCACGTCATATGTATATATTTTTTATTTAGCCACCACTCATATTATATATGTATCTTTATAACACTTTATTTCAGAAATGATTTAAAACAGTTTACAAGGAGATATTAAAATATAAGAAACAGCAAAAATTAAAAGTAAAGCAAAAAGAAACTAAAAACGAAAACACATTAGGGACATAAACAGAGAACAGGAATGAAGTTTACAATGCACATCACTGTGCAAAATTGTGAACTACAGTGTGGCAAGCAGCCAATGAGAAAGGGAAAACCAGGTCAGCTACACAATTCACAATGTTCGGAAGAAAGGAAGCAACTCAACAGCTCAGGGAGAATTGTGTAACTTAAAGGATTTTCTTTTCCCATTAACCCATAGGCAGAGCCAGTCAAGCTTTTCCTCAGAAAATGGTTTTGAATCAATTCTATGTCATGGGTGACTAAGCGAATGAGACCCCAAATTCTGTTCTGTGTTGAGTACTTCATGGAATATAGTCGCAATACTCATATCTTTAAAATTTTTGAGGCATCCGTAATAAGACACTTGCCTTTATCAAAATAAGATTTTAATAATGCTTAACTTTTATTCCTCCAAGAAGTAACATTTATTCCTCCAAGAAAAAATATATTTGTAAATATCTCCTAAAGTTATTTGATTAGGCCACTGTTTGGTGGGAATAGTATGTAATAAATCATCAAAGTTTAAAGAATGCCATCCAAAATACTTTTTATCATAGAATAGTTGATATGCCTTCTCTTCAAGAAATACATGTGGCTAGTTTACTTTTTTAATGGTTTCAGTATCTTATCACATTCCTCTGAAATTATCGATTATATTCACATACATGTTCAAAGAGGCTTTCACATAAGTCATCTTTGCACATTGCATATAATAATTAAAAATGGAAAGTACTTAAATGTCCTTCAACAAGATAAGGGTGAAACACTATATGACACGTTCTAGAACACTATGCACATACTAAAATGAATAAGGTAAAGTTAAACTGAGTCTTATAAGAAGATTCTAAAACATATTTACATTCTTTTTCTGTTTGCTTTATTAATTCTGATCTCTGGTGGTCATTTTTCTATTTGTTGATTCTAATGGCTTTTTTCATAATGTTAGTTTTCCAAACAGCTTAATGATTCTTGGTAGTGTGTATCTTTTATTTTGAGATTCTTTATTAGCCTATCTGAGAATACTGTACAGTTGACCCTCCATATCCATGGGTTCCACATTTGTAGACTGAACCATTTACAGATGGAAAATATTCTGAGTAATACAAATAAAAAATAAATTATAATCACTATTTATATAGTATTTACATTTTATTAGTTATAAGTAAACTAGAAACTATTCCAATTGTACTGGAGGATATGTGTAAGTTATATGTAAATATTATGCTATTTTATATAAGGGGGTTGAACATGTATGAATTTTGGTATCCAGAGGAATCCTGGAACAAATCCCCCAGTGAATACTAAGGGACAACTGTATTTGTCACCATCTATTATAGGGAGATAGCATGCGGCTTGGGAAGACAGGCCTATCTTATTAATATTGGGACCTTCCCTCCCATGAAATATCAACAACATGGGCCACTGTCATTTCTCTGAGGTCCAAGTCTCATTCATTGTTTCTTCAAGGGGAAACATTTCTGCTATCTGTTGCTTGGCACAATTGAGAGGAACAAACATTGCTGCATCTCCCAGATTCTCCTTCTGTAGAACCTCACACTGTCATTCTGAGAATTATTCCAGAGCCTCTTTCTCCTCTACTGGAAACTCCTGATTTTGAAACTCTCCTGACACTGCTCTTATTTTGTGTAGAAAAACTACCCTGTTCACGCTTTAGAAAGTCGGTTTCCTATTCCAATCCAATCTGAACAAATTACTTCAGGGATTTCTTACAATATATGTCTATCCATCTATAGGATCTGTTCTGGTTTTTCAGCATTGTTACAGATTTTATTTTTAAAATCTATGCTTTGTATTATTTCTAGGAATTTGGGGTGGGAATAGGGACAGGTGTGTTTGTTCAGTTCACTCTTGCTCTCTTTTCCATAAACATCCAATTGAAACTCCCATGAGGACTGGGTTGATAGAATAGATTAAGAAACATTTGCATTCTTACTGATTCTTTCAATACCTGAACAATTGTTTCTATTTCCCCATATATTTTCTTTATAAAATGTTATAATTCCATTCACATAGGTCTTAGACACTTTTATTACATTATTGCTAAGTATTTTGTTCTTTTGTTGCTATTGTGAATGAGATCTTCTTTTTCATTAAATTTTCTAACTAATTCCTATTGGTGTATCAGGAAACCTATTGATTTTGATATACTCATTTTGTAACAGACCATCTTACTCAGCACTTTTATTTTTCTAACAGTTTTTAAATTGATTCTCTTAGAGTTGGCAGGGAGGTGATCATGGGACAGACAATGTGAAATATGTGGATCAGCATTTTCATTTCAATATTGTTTGTTATGCAGAAAAGTAGAAGATAATATTAATTTCCATCAACAGCAAAATATGAAATAGATTAAATAAGTTACGATGCTTACAGGTGATAAAGCACCATGCAATCTTTGAAAGTAAACACATGTGGAAAGAAATCCACACATGAAAAGGAAAAATAAAGGCAGGGTACCAGTTAGCAAAACTATTTTAACCCAATTTCCTCATTTTTACATAAGAATCTTTATGTATATATTGTGACCATGATGAAAAAGAAAGAAGAAAAGGAAAAAAGAAAAAAGAATAAGTTTAACAGTTACATAACCAAATGTTTAAAATGGTTAGATTTTGTTTTCCTAAAAGAGCTGCAATGACAATGTACTACTTTTGTAGTAAGAAGAAAATAAGCCAGGCATGGTGGCTCATGCCTGTAATCCTAGCACTTGGGGGGCTGAGGCAGGTGATTGCTTGAGCTCAGGAGTTTAAGACCAGCCTGGGCAACATGGCAAAATCTTATCTCTATAGAAAGATAAAAAAAATTGTCAATCATGGTGGTATACATGTCCCAGATACTCAGGGGACTGAAGTAGGAGATCAGTTGAGCCCAGAAGTGAGCTGAGATCATGCCACAGCACTTGAGCCTGGGTGACAATGTGAGACCTTGTCGAAGAAGAAGAAGAAGAAGAAGAAGAAGAAGAAGAAGGAGAAGGAGAAGGAGAAGGAGAAGGAGAAGGAGAAGGAGAAGGAGAAGGAGAAGGAGAAGGAGAAGGAGAAGGAGAAGGAGAAGGAGAAGGAGAAGGAGGAGAAGAAGGAGAAGAAGGAGAAGAAGGAGAAGAAGGAGAAGAAGGAGAAGAAGGAGAAGAAGGAGAAGAAGGAGAAGAAGGAGAAGAAGGAGAAGAAGAGGAGGAAGAGGAAGAGGAAGAGGAAGGGGAAGGGGAAGGGGAAGGGGAAGAGGAA